GTTGGAGTTTAAGTCTTTTGAGCCTCTTTTTTTGTGTCTGCATTCCTGTCTCCAGGGTTCGGTTTAGGGCTCATGTTTAGGGTTTAGGATATGGAGCACAAGGAGACAGTGGCTCGAAATAACCCTAAACCCTACGCCCCTCCACCCCTGAATATCTAATCGAAACCCTAAAACCTAAACCCCGTTAAAACCCATGATTCGACTCAGACCTCTACATTACCACAAAAGGCTACTCAGAATCCGAAGCTCCGAGACCTAAACTCTAAACCCAAAACTCCAACCCCATGCAAGCGGATCGTGGCTATCTGGGCTCTGCACACAGCTCGGTCCCTTTTCTCGACCCACAGGTGCTTCCAACCATTTGCATTTGGATGCATGTCAAGCTGTTCAGCTTGCACGCCCCCCAAGTATAGAAGTCACAGATCCTTGAAGATTCAGTCAGCCACGGAAGGGTTTGCCAACTGTCTCCTTTTACGGCCGGACAGTAATTCAGGATCATACACTATTCGCCACTGGCCCTCTCTACGACTGTATTAGAAGAGCTGATGAAGCTCATTTTCTTTCGTCAGAGAATTCGCAGGTTGGCTATCACCATTGACCCATCGGGCAGACAAGGACGTAGCTGCCATACTTTCTTTAAGGCATAAGGTTTCAATGTCGATGGTTTCTCAGCTCCCTTCAAAGTCAACACAGTTTGATTCAACCTGTCAGACAGATTCTTGCTATCGCTGATCAAGACTCCAGACAGCTTGGAACCGAAGTGCATACAACTCATCCTCTGTGTCAGCAGCTGCTCGTGATTCAGCAGCCCCTGAACTCTTGCAAGTTTTCTGAATCTTAGCCGAATACCAGAACACAAGACTACTGTTCACAAGGTCTCCCTTTATCAGCCGAGGTGTTCCAGCCAATGAAAACCCCGTTCGTGGCGCTGCCATCTGGTCGATGTCCATCAGCAGCATCTGCCCATGCGGCCAAGATCATCTCCTCTCGAGGAAATCCATGAATCCTCATCTTTTGGTGTTGGCTGAGTTTTGCCCGCCCGAGCAACTTGCTGGTATCCACAATGTCCTGGACTGTTCCTTTCGCTATCCGGGACAGAAGCATTCCTACAGGGACACACCACTGGGAGCCACCTGGGTGGCATGCCAGGACAAAGCTCCCAGCACACTACGAAGCTGCAGTTGTTCATGCGCAGTGGCAGCGGCAGTCAGATCTTGATGCCTAGTTCTTCCTAGGTCCTAGATGGATTTCAGAGACTGAATTGAGGTATTCGGGCTGACTAAGCAAGAAATCCTCCTTCGTCTGTTCAATCAGCACTCCACACTGAACAAACTGCTTGGACTCCCATTGACCCCATTTAACCCGTTCCTGAGTCTTTCTACGGATGTCCTGCCATTCGGGGTCCTGGTGATCGCCTCCAAAAAGAAAGTCGTCCACATGACCACGTACCAGCCTATTGGCGACAGCCCCAACAAGCAGGATCAGAGAGCGGTCGTTCGGCTCCCAGGCTTTCCATAAACCGGGTCACTGATGAGTACCATTGGACTGGCGCCTCCACCAGTCCATGTATTGCTCTGGTACGCAGCATGGTGCTGTTCTCTGGAACCGTTCAGACACCATCAAAACAGTCATGCTGAACTTTGCAATTTGCACGGCTCCTTCAACCACGGAAATCTGTCAATGAGCTTCGGCTGGAATGTGTTGAAGCAGGATCTAGTCTCAGCACCTGAGGTTTACCAAAGTGGGGCAGCCAGTGTCCTTCGAAGTGATTAGTTGATAACGTCTTGTGCACCACTGCAGGGGTTTTGCTCGCATGTTGGAACAACAACCGTCCAGTACGAAGTCGACTCCCCGCATCCACTCCTAACATGAACTGCCACTTTTCGTTGGTTTCAGGGTGGTTCAAGCATCGCATTGAAGAGTGTGCCTTTTTGGGGATAGGACCAACGACGACTGACTCCTAGGGTCCGGACGACTCCTCTCTCCACACACATCACAGCTGAACTTCCCAAGACACCTGAGCACGTTCGCACTGGCATCTGTACGTTTCAGACTCGCTCTCATGTAGGAAATGCTACAGTGGCCGATGGCTGTATGCATCCTGCGCAAGTTCTGGAAAATCTGCTGGCGCTCAGGTGCAGCGATATAGCTCCGCTACCATGCAAGTGGATCGTGGCTATCTGGGCTCTGCACACAGCTCGGTCCCTTTTCTCGACCCAAAGGTGCTTCCAACCATNNCCCCCCCCCCCCCCCCCAATTCCCAAAAGTTTCTTGTCTCAAGATACTCCCAGGCCCAAACCCCTACCTTTAAAACTACCGAAATCCCCAAATTCTGCGACTAAGCCTGGAAACACTTAATGTAGGGGCCTTAGTATTTAGA